CATGAGGGTTAACTGAGTTCACCTGTGCACTAGTAAATGCTCAGAAAGGATTCCTGTTATTAATATTCTTATATATGAAATGACATGGCACACTGCCAAAAGTCTTATATACATTAAAAGAAAAATACTAGCAATAACCCTGCAAGGTAGGTTTCTCATTTTAGAAATGAGAAAACTGAGGTTCAGAGAAATTGAGTAAGTTGCACAGGCTGGACATTTGCCTCTCTCACCACAACCTTTCTCTGTTGCAAGAGCAATATGCGAGGTGCTTCCATGCTGCACCTCTCGACTGAAGCGGAGACTTTTTGGAATCAGCCACAGAAGAGCTTGGGGTGGCGCCAGGTCTCCTCTCTGATACCTTCCTGCTATTGTTTGAGCTATTATGATGTGGCCTTGCACGGGGACGTACACTTGCCTCACCAGTGCCAGCATCTTCCATTCTGCTGCTGTGAGATATTTATATATGAAATATCTGCAGCAGGAGAAATAAAAAGCAACTGTGGCGAACAAATGAATACCAGACTTCCACTTCCTATCTGAGGCCCTTCTGCCACAAATGTGTGAGAAGGTGGAAAGGTGCTGCCGGGGTTTTGAATCATTAGGGGCATTTTTGAGTTGTAATGCCTGTGGCCTGACCATATGCCTTTTGTGTGCCTCTCTGGGTCTGTGGCTTTCCTTCTGTCCATTAATGGCTGAAAGTTTGCTCACTTTTAATACCTTTTTGAAGCCACTGTTCACAACCACCCCTTCATCCTGCCTCAACTTCTGGCTAACGACTTCATAAATCCCTTTGCTGACTATGTCTCCTTGGGACCAAGAAGGTTGTAGACACAGAGCCGCCTTTGTGCCCTCAGATGAGGAGTCCTTTCCTTTGGTTCCAGTGGTGTAAGCTATTAGTCAAGTGACTATACATCCTAGGCTGTGCCTGCCTTGTGGTCCCAGCATGAAGAGAGTCCCCTTCTCACTCTGCACGTATCCTGGATTGGGCCATAAATCAAAGGATCACCCTAGCTTTTAGTGTCCATGCATACGGCACCCATCGGTGGCATTCTTCAGCTAATCTCAGACAACTGAGTGATGATTGGGCTACTTTTGTGTGTCTTTCTTTTTGGTGCCACATAAGGAAACAGATTATCTCACCGAGTACACAGATCATAGGAGAAAGGCCACGGACAGTTAGTGGTCCCCTGTGGGTCATCATTCATCCCAATGTAGTGCTAGCTCTCATGATGGTATCTTATGCCATCCAGAAAGTGATTTACACAGCCCGGCATTGCCTTATGGGATTACAGCACTGCGGGAAGCTGGAGGGGGGCGTGTCCAAGGGGTCCTTACCTCCCCTCTTCTTTCTTCTTTCATATCAATCTCACTTCGTGTGAGGCTGTGGTTTCTCTGTCACACTTTCAGATGGTCCTAATGCATGGGGGTGGAGTGGGGCTAGGAGGATGGAGAGTTTTGTTTGATTTTTTAAGCCAAACAGTACACGGATCAGTTGCATCATTTCATTATCTATGTCCTCAGGCATTTCTAATGGGCTGGCTTATCTACACTTTTGCAGCCTGAATGCAGAGAGAGAGAGAGAGAGAGAGAGAGAGAAAAGCAAATGTATTTCATTTTAAAATGTTGTGCTTGAGTTCAAAGAATTACGATCATTAGAAAATATTTTAGAAGATGAATAAAGCTAGACCTATGAACTCCATCAGAAATATTCTTATTGAGCTAAAAATGATGCCATTAATTCAAGTGATAAAAGTCATTTATACTGGGCTTTCCCTGGATGTACATAACCCAAGTTTGCTGATTCATTTTAATTCTGGGGGCTTGCTGGAGTCTTTCTGACGGATCGATCTAGATAGAATCAAACCTCATTCCATATTGGGGATCGTCCAAAGCCTTAGCATGAGCTTGGTGACTGTTGAAGGGCTTATCTTTCTCCTTCTTACTTCTCATTCTAAACCACCCTCTGGCCCCACTGTGCCCACAGCAACCCTTTTATTTAATTTCCACAAAACCACTTCCCCAGGGCATTTGTGTGGATAGCTCACTGTACTGAAGATTTGGGGGAGCGAGACAGGAATTCCTATCACAGATACAATGCAAGTTAAAACTGGATACTGGATGGACGTGCTCTTCAAAAGTCCTGGGTGTTGCTGCAACTGACCTTGAACCTCCCACTTGTCAATCAATACTCCTTTCTCTCTCTTTCTTTTTTTCCTCCTCTGTTAGGGCTTTCTCTCTCTTCTCTTTCCCCTCCTTTTCAGGGCATAAAATCAAGCTTTTCCCATTTTTATTTATTTATTTTTAAATTTAATTTTTAATGCAACACAATTAAGCTCTCAACCAGCTCCAAAAGCCAAATGAAGCTTGGTGTCTCCACTTCCAAGGAAGTGGTCCAATTAGAATTGATCCCTTGTGAAGTCCCTTCTGCTGAGATTCTTGAACAATGGCCGTCCTTTCCCCTCATCTCAGTCTGGAGGTGAGCATGGGGATGGGGGAGGAGGAGTGTGTTCCGGGTACTATATGTAGAGGAAAGGGTAATACCATGGCTTTTGGCCCAGTAGGCGTTTGAATTCTAGCTTCTCTACTTCCTGTGTGACCTAGGATAAGTTCCTTAACATTCCTGAACCTGTTTTCTTATCACTAAGGTGGGGATAATATTGCTTTTTTGCAAGCTGTAGAAAGGGTAAAATGGAATAACACTTCTATAGTACCTGGCTTAATGCATGCACTCAACAAATGAGAAAATTTCCTTTCCTTTCAACTGATAAACATTTTCCTGGAGGGTTACATATGTGAACATTAAATATTTATAAATTGCATAATGCAAAAAAAAAATGAAACCTGAAAGGAATCTTACTTCAGATTTTTTCTGATGAAACAAATAATCAACTCTGCTTGTCTTTGCTGCAAATCTGTATTTTTATATGCAGCACTGGGTCTGGTTATGATGTTTATGTGCAATACTCAGCACAGTGAGACTTCTCTGTGCAGCTTCATAGAAGTTATAAATATTAGGTACTGATGGTGTGATGTGAGGCCACCTAAGAGACTGACGCCTAGAGCTGTCCCTGAGCTATTGCTTCCAGGTGGGCCCATCAGAGCTGAATAGATAATGAGGAGATAAGCATTAGTTAAGGCCTGTGGTTTGATCTGATGGTACTCACAGCAGAGTGAAAATAGATTATTTTACCAGGAAAAAGGACTCCCCATCTGTCCTTCCTCTAAAGCAGAGCAGAGTCCCTGATGAATAAATGATTGTTGTCAATTAGGCCGATTTAATCCATCAGCAGAGACAGGCTGTATGCATCCCATGCAGCCGGGTTTTAAATTCTGGGGTACCAGGGTTTATGTTAGAAACAGTGGCTGGCATAATATTTCATGTTCTTAGAGGCAGGAAAGAATCAACTGAAGACTTGAAAGAAATTTTTTCTATTGTCAGGTCAGTTGTCTGGGGGTCTGCCAAATACAGCCAGCAGCCTGCTTTTGTACAATCCACAAGCTAAGAATGGTTTTTCATATTTAAAGGACTGTAAAAAGAAGAAAATATGCAATTGAAATCATATGTGGCCCACAAAGCCTAAAATATTTACTATCTGGTACTTTATAAAAAAATTTGCTGATTCCTGGTCTAAAGAGTCTGAAGGTAAAATATAAGGATGATTGACTTTTGCAGTTGTAACATGATTTGTGGCAACCACTGTCTGTTTTTAGCAAAGCTTAGTGGGCATTATTTAGGATAAATGTAATCACATTTCAATATTTAATTGCACCTTGTTATCTCCACATGGGGTTATTCTAACTTTGTCCAGGGAACGGAGTCTCTAGCTGTTATTATAGAAGAATTAATAGCTTATATGTCTGTCACCTCCCTCTGAAGCCCCCACCTGTCACTTCCTCACTATAGCTCACCTGTTTGAAAGCTCTTTCTATCTCCTCCCCTGGCCAGAGAGGAATTGGCAGGGGCCAGCTCAGGAAGGGCTGCTGAGACCATTTTACCTTACTCTGTGCATGTCTCCTGGGAGAAGCAGGCCTGGATTAGACCCTAAATGATGGGCGTGTCGAGGGGAGGGTATAAGCAAGGATCCAGAGGCTTGAGTGACTCTCATGGAGAGGCCTGCTCGGGCTAGAGGCTTTTATAGTAGTGTGAGATGATGGTGGATCATCAGTGTGGTCAGTTTATTGGGAATTTTAAGGTGTATGGAGTTCCAAATCCAGTAGTCAGTGAGGAGTCATTGTCACTTATTCTAAAAGGGAGCAAATATGTGTTTGTGTGTGTGTGTGTGTGTGTGTGTGTGTGTGTGTGTGTGCGTGTGCGCGTGTGGTGGAGGGTGTGTGTGAAAAGACAATCATGAAACTGGCTATTAGTTAAACCCTAACTGGCTGCTGGGCTAAGCACATTACATGGACCATCTCATTTAAACCTCACAACTTTGCGAGGGAAAGTATTTCTATCCCCAGTTTACAAAGGAGGAGATGTGGGCTTCGAGAAATTGAAATGACTTGTCCAAGGTTCTGAAGTTAACAACAGCAAGAGCCAGCGAGTCTTTCTGACCTAGGACCCCAAGCTCTCAACACCTGCACTCCCGAAACAAGCTCAATGTAAGACATTCTAACACAAGACAAAAGAGTCAAAAGCAGATAAAATTCTGTCTTCCAGGAATGATCACTTTGGGTGACAATCCTGTTAGGCATCTTTCTATATATATATATATATACAAAGCAATATGTATGCAATTTGCATAACCCTGGCCTGGATTGCATAAATCTGTGCTTGCAAATTTTATATAAATGGCACCATATTATATACCCTAGTTTTCCCCCACTGAAAACTAAGTTTCTAGATTTTACTTAGTGGGTGTAAAGGATTTCGCTTTATGGCTGTCCCCTCACCCACATAACCAGTCCCCTATAGATCTCTGCAGGTTCTTGAGCAAGCAAATCCTTTTTTTGGTTTGTTTTACTTTTTAACTGAGTCTCATGCTTTCTCCCTTTCTTTGCAGCATGCCCTTGATGCTGACAATGCAGGAGTAAGTCCAATAGGAAATTCTTCCAACAACAGCAGTCACTGGGACCTCGGAAGTGCCTTTTTCTTTGCTGGAACTGTCATCACCACCATAGGTATCCATTTGCTTGCTAATCTCTTTCCCTCAGCAGACCATCCTGAGTAATGGCGCCTAGTCAATGTTTTTGTCCTCACAGAATACATGGCGGCTTGAGGTTCATAGGAGGCTTATGAAACACTGTCAAATTAATGCAGTGGTTGTACTGGCTTTCAATAAAAGGAAACGAGAACGAAGAACATTTTTCAAAGTGAGACTCAGAGGGCCTTTAGTTTGAAAAGACCTAAGGAAAAAGTTAGAGTGAAAAAGCAAATCACGAATTGGCCAGTTCAACTCGAATTCCTTTTTAAAAATTGTACTTTTTATTAAATCTATACATGAAAGAACCAGAATGTCCTAGAAAGTTTGTTTATGAAAAACAGCAGTTGCTGCCCTTCTCCCCCTTTTTCACCTCCCGAGGGGCAACCACTTTCATTTCTTTTGCTTGGTTATTTTGGTCTTCATCTCCGTGTCTGTAAATAATCACACTGTATTGTCACTTCCTGGATTTTCAGTTTTAGAGACTATTTCTTGATTTCCCATTATGGAAGATAAGCGATTAGCTCTCTTTTCCCCCATTCTACTGTAGAAGAACTCTCTTTTTGTTCTCCAATCACCACACTATAGTTTTATTAGATCAAAACTGAACACTTGCATTTTTTTGACTAGGTCAGTGCTCTTCACAACTGATCATATGATGAACTACAATGACTTCTTTCCTGCATCGATTTTTGTCTTATAATATTTATGTGTCTTTTTCTGATACTTGGAGAGTTTTGTGTTTTTGTCTTAGGGGTTAACTTTATAATTATAATCATACATCATAACCTTATTGTTCTATTCCTTAGGCAGTATTTTTACTTCCCTATTGTAGGCGATGATCTCTCTTTTTCCTCTCCTTTTCCATCACTTAATTTTAGTCGACACCACCCTTTCAGTGTGTACTTTTAAATTATTAATATTGCTTCTGCTTCTATTAGATGATTTGCCCACTTAAATTATAACTCTTGGCTCTCAGCTATCATCTATAATGTAGTCAGTGAACTTAGCATCTCACCTCCTTTTCCTCTTCCACTATCAATTATTACTCATTGTGTCATTCTGTAACATTGGGGTATATAGTTTACATTCTATTCTGTTCCCTTGATACTCACATTTGTTTTAGTTGTAGTTCTACAGTTAAATATTGTCAATGTTCACCTGTAGTCCTTTCGCCATGGTTTCCCTCATCATTAGTTGCTAGGCTGAAATGCATCTTCGGGTAGCCACTTTAAGAATGGCTCATGGGAGCGCTATTCCCTGAGTTCTTGTGTTGTTCAAAATGGCAGCATTACCCTCGAAGGGCAGTTTGGCTGCAAATGAAATCCTTGACTCACATGTCCTTTGTCAGGGGTCTTGTAGGTGTTGCTTCACTCCCTTCTGATGTTCGTGCTGCTGTGGAGGAACCCGATGTCAGCCCAATTTTTTTCCCTTTTATAAGTGACTTTATCTTTTTGTTCAGCTACTCAAAGGATCATTTCTTTATCTTTCATCTGATAACACTGCTAGGTTTTATTTTATTTCAGGGAAGTTTTCTTGGTTGTCATCTTTAAACATTTTCTCCGTTGTATGGTTTTAGTTTTGTCCTTTGGAGAGTCCAACTCCACATACATCACCACTTCTTTGCCTGTCTTTTGTTTCTATCATTTTCCCTTTGCTCCTTTTTAACTCTTAAAGTTTGGTTTTCAATGTGGTAGTTTTATCCTCTCTATTCCTTTTTCTCTGGTTTTCATGGTGCCTGTTCTGCCATCTGTTCCTTCTAATTTTATTTTCATTTTGAGGTCATTAATGGATTTTTTCCCCTTCCTATTTCTTTCTTTAATTCTGTTAGCTCCCGTTTCATCTGTGCTTGTTACCTCACTATTTCTTTCTTGATTTCTTGCATTTATGCTTTGTGATTTCTCTGTAAGCTTTCTTAGAAGTGATTACCTTATAGTTGGCCACAATTTTGTCTGGCTGGAGCAACATTTTTCTCCTGTGTATTTCATCCATTGGTAGGTTTTGCTGCTCTTTTCACATTTTTAAAAAATGGAAACTTAATATTTATGCCGGACCAGTTTCTTTGCTTGACACCAAGCAATCTGGATCTTCCTGTACCAGTTATCTGCTGAACGTTTCCATGGCGCTGGGGAGAGGAGAGCTGGGAGAAGCACGCAACTATTTAGATAGCACATCCTTAGACTCTCCTGTTTCCCGTGCTTCCTGCAAATATGGCCCATCTTTGTTACTCTTTGTATTGTCCCGCCTCTTCTGTTTTTCTGCATCAGATCAAGTTCAGGGGAGCTTCTCCTGCTCTTCTTCTTTACTCTATATTCCATACTGGGTGCTAACAGGGAGATCTGTTTTGAAGTTCAAGGTTAAGACCCTTACCTTCATACTTGGACTTTTGCTGGTACTGAGATTTGCTACAGGTGGGCTCTCTTATCATTCTCTGTGTTTCTTCTCTTTATTTTTGTCCCATGTGACTTCTGTCCAATCTCAGCTTCTTTTGGTAATCCTTACACATATAGTGGAATTGCTAGATTATATCTCTCTCCCAGCTCTGATGAAAATGAATTTGAGAGTTAATGTGCCTCCATACAATAGTGAAGTCACACTGCAATAAAAATTCTCACTCAAAAGAATGGGAGCACACAGCAGTCACCAGTCTGTCGCAGTGACAGACAGGCATCAGGAGACCCCTCTGCTCTTGCAGTGGGAGGATTCCTTCATTAACACCTGGAAGGAATTCCCTCATCTGTTGCTCCCTGAGGCCTAGCTATGCCTTCTGGAAGGTTCTTCCATCTCCCTTATAATTCATGACTACACCTTAAGAGAGTCATGCCTTCCCAGGGGGATGCACATCTTTGGTGATCGACTTCCTATTGGTACATGTTTCAGGGGCAAGGGTTGTTTTAGAGGCACAGATTTTTGGTTTTGTTTTTAGACTTAGCCTTTAGGACCTGTATTGTTTCTACACTGGTGCAATCAAGAAAGTTATGTGCAATAAGAATAAGAGAATTGTCCCTACTTTTTAGAATGCCTCTTAATCTAATTTTATTTATTTATTTATTTATTTATTAATTTTTTTTTTTTAAGATTTTTATTGGGGTATTGGGGGGAAGGGGAACAGACAAGTTGCTGTCGTTTTGTTCTTCAGTCTAGTTGTGGAGGACGCCGCTTCACTGGCCCAAGTTGGCACCATCATTGCACTCTTCCTGGGCGAGGCAGATCAGTCGCCGGCTTCTGGACGGCCGCTCACGCTGGCTGCTGGCTACATACGGTAGCCCATGGCAACCCACTACCCGTCGCCGGCGACTCATGGCAGCCCAGCTCCAGGTTGAGCTGTTGTTCAGCATCTTAGCTGTGGAGGGCAGTGTCACTGGCCCTCATATGTGGGATCCGAACCGGGGCCCTCTGGCGTCCCAAGCCAGTTCTTAACCATCGCGCCACTCGGCTGGCCCCTCGTAATCTAATTTTAAATGACATACAAGTTTCACACTTGCAAATCTGCAAACATAGTAAGATTAGCTATTACAAATATTTATTAGATGTGTGCATTACACCAGTGGGTCTGGGACCTAGAAGTCTTTACAGACACTCCAGACCAGACTGGGTTATATTAGTCCACAGTCTCACAGCACCCAGCAAAGGAAGCAGGGTGACTGGGCACCATTTGGTGTGAGGGCAAAAAGTGCTGTAAACCTCAACATTACTTGAGGTCATCTCTGTAGTGGATCAGAGAAGACAAGGTCAGATTAAACTGTGTTCAGAATTCTGGTTATTAAGATGGGGAAATGTACCATGCATTTTAGGAGGATTTATAGTAAAATAATTAAAATTGAGAAAGTCTGGGCCACTTCAAGGTGTATATTTTGGAAAATGTACTCCAGTACCCAGTATTGGATCCATGAGACATTAGCATAAAGAAGTCAGAAAAAGGAAAATTCTAATTTTCTTGCTTTATAAAATGGCTAAATCAGTGGTCTGTATAATGCGTTAAAAAACTCTATAGCTACTTTGGAATGTGCACTTATGGTGTTTACGTGTCAGCTCATTAGGATCCCATGAGCTTGGTTTATTGAACTGTATTCACTGACCCACATAAACGTTATGTGATTGAGGAATGGTGGTTCTGTCCACCTAATAAGGAACATTTGATATGTAACATTTTCTGCCTTTTTAATTTGCTAATACTGAGGGATCTTTGAGTTTGTGCAAATGACCCTAAGTCCTTGGTTTCTGCTGCCTAGCATCCATTCACTTATTCACCCTTGTCCTGATAACCCAATGTCCCCTTTTCCACTCTTGGCTCCCAGGTCCCGGGGGAAGAATCACCCAATCTAGGCTAAGAATCCAGTGTCCTGAATGTGTGTGGCCACAGTCCTTAGTTCAGAGATGGTCATGAGATCTGGATTAGCCCAATGAGAACCTCAGCTCCTCAGCTGTTACTTGGGCTTTGGAGGCATTGACTGCCTTTCTTTCTTACTGGAGGTAAATCTGGAAAGAGATTGGCCCAGAACCCTGTCAGTTACCTTCTTCCCTTGATGGATTAGTGTTGCTAGAATTCAGCTAACACTAAAGAAGTACAGTAAGAAAAGGGCAGTGATAAGTGGGGTCCTGCTCACATAGTTTGAACTTTGAATGGAGCTACCCATGAAGTGTTAAGAAACAAATGTTAAATCTCCTTCTAGAATATTTACTGGGATCAGTGCATTTCCTTTTCTGCTTAAGCCAGTCTGCATTGTTTTTTCTATTGCCCCAAACTGAAAAAGCCCTGACTAATACACACTTATGGGTCAGAGATCACGGAGTGCTGGTAAGTATCCTCTGACCTCCATGGCCACTGTCTGACCCTGCTGGCCACTGCAGCTGCCATCTTTCACCTCCTTTGGGCCATTTTCTCTAGATTCAAAACAGAGCATCCTATTGGATAAGCCGCTGGTCATGTGCGTGTGTCCTGGCTACTTTGGAAAGTGCTGCCTCTGTAGTGGGAGGCAG